GCACCATCGGCTATTCGTGAGAATGTCTTGGATTTTGTTCACGAAACTTCCGCCGGTATGCATGACGTCATTAAGAGAAAGCTTACCAACGCCTTTTGAAGAAGCATCGAAGACAATTCTCAAGGGAGTGGGTTTTTCACTCTTCCACACTCCTGAATGGGGCATGTAATAAGTGGTCTTGTCGGGGCAGTAGCGCTCCGAAATCGGAACTTCCTCAATGATGTCGTGCTTTTATACTCTTCTAATATTTTTGAATACCACTCTTTTTGATCGTGATGTAGATTATGGAACCTGTACAGTGAGGTCAGTCTCGAAAGAGCCACATTGTAATTGTTCTCCAGGTCCACTACATTATCCTTCAGCGGAAAAGGAGCGGTTATCACCCCGTCTTCTATGCGGATGCGTTTGGAGTACTCATTTAGGTACTCATGAGTTGTGTCATCTGTTTTATATTCGTCGGTTAATATCCCCATTCCGTCTAGCTCGTACATTTCCTTTAGTTCTTGTTTGATATCTGATATTGCTTCGGGACATGCTAGAACCACTTGTTGGGAGCAAGCGTTTAAGTGGGGAATGTCTGACTTTCCGAACAAAGCAGGCCCGAAAACAGTATCCTGAGCTAAAAGACCGGATGGTAATTTTGTTGGAGGCGAGTCCAGGAGGACAATTTGTTCGTAGGACTCGACTCCGATTAAAACCGCAGGTGTGACTAACTGACCATTCGTGGCGGTATTTGAGAGGAAGATACGGTTTCGTTTGAGGAATTGCACATCCAAATCCGTAAGTGTAGCGGCAGGAAATGCGTTCGTGAGCACAGGTTTGGTGCTCAAATTAATGGCGAGAGTTTCTCCGAACCGCGTTCTGAAAACGGCTGTCACTTGCTGCGCCGTATAGGTTTGAGCAGTTCCTCCAATTCCGTGCATTGTGCATTGGTATGGGTCACCTCGCGGAAGAGCGAGCGCGTCAGCCAGGCTGGCAGCAATCAAATTGCATTGAGCCCCCGAATCGAGGAAAATCAGGACGTTCTCGAATGAGCCATTAGCGTTGTTCTTAATCTGTCCTTCCACTGTCATGAGGACGAGGTTTTTCTCGTGAGAATTTCCATGTGTTTGGTTCGAGAAACTGTTCACGGCTTTTTGTTCCTCTTTTGTCGGTGCGGCTGCTTGCACTTTATCGACAGTCATGTGACTGGTCTGATTACGGTATGTGCCCTTCTGTGTGGTAGTTTTTCTATCGCTACCACTGGATGTTTTGCGAGTCTCGTCTTGTGATTTCGTGCGTGCACTTGTTACAGAAGATGTTACGGAAGAAGTTTCTCCTGCGTTGTAGGAGCATAGAGAAATGTGGTGATCTCCGTTGCACCTGGGACAATTCCTTTGAAAGCAAGCGCGACTTCTGTGGTCGCTCGCAAAGCATTTCCAGCAGACGGGTTGACCCCTCAGTGCGTTTCGACGATCGATTGGGGTTCGTACTGTGCGGCAATCCTTTGTTTGGTGGTTATTCCTTTGGCAAAATAAGCACGATTCTTGCTTGGCAGTCTTCGCGCGTTGCGCTGTTTCAGCATTGATCCGTCTTGAGGTCAATGACGCATATCTGTTTTCAAATAGTGCTTTGGAAGAAACATGTTCGTGAAGTTCCTCCAAGAGCCTACCGACTGTTAGTTTTGAGTCGGTTGAGGATGCTTTCATACAGTCTTTTATTATATCATATGGGAATTTCGCGAGGATCGTGTCGATCCACATCGGGTCATGTTTCTTGCGGATATCATACCCAGTGGCAACCATTTGGAAAACAAGATCATTTATTTTTTCGAGAGTTTCAACACATTTTTGGGCTGCTGTGGCTGCCTTTGGTAGGTCCAACAATTGCTGTACAATTTGGGACCTGTTATTCGCTTTATCGCCGAACTTCTTTTTCAGTACTTCGACAATAAGGTTATAATTGGAACTTCTCATTGGGATGCTTTTGATGGAATTTTGGGCTTTCCCGCGTATTGCGTCTTTGAGGTATAGGATCTTTTCTAATTCACTGAGTTGCGGGTTTTGATCAATTATGAGCGAGAAAGTGTCCCAAAACTCTTCCCAGGAATCGTTCTGGACGCTGGAGAGAATTCGATTTGGTCTTCGTCCGATTTTCCGCCCCATTGTAGTGGTGCTGGGGCGTTCGCGGGAATGTGCGTTGGATTGCTTTGAAGTAAGCCGCACGGGTCAGCCTCTTGATAGTCGTCCTCGGTGCATGGTTGCAAACCCTCGTCGACTTGGATTGCTGAACTCGATTGCATACGTGGGAGATCAATAATGGTTGCTTGGGTTTTGATTTCTCGCATTCTAGCGTTAAGACCCAAGACAACGCTTTCTGCTTCATGTTTCAATGCGCGGAAATCGTATTTTTGTCTAAATTCTTCGATTTCTGCAAGCATATCCTTTTTCTCTGCTTTTGGCACGTCGCCGTAGATTTTCATTACGTTTTCATAGACATTCTGGAGCGCGTGTAGTTTATCGGTCACAGTTTCATGTGCCGTTTGAAGTTCACACAGTCTTTCTTCGCAGTAAATGCGGATTCGGGACCTATCTTCTGTGGGTGGTTTGTTTGGATGCGTAGTTTCCTTGAAGATGGTAACTGCCTCTCTTAGGGCGAGGTACTCATCCTCTAGGCACTGGAGGAGGAGAGTTATTTTGCTCATATTTCTCGAGCTTTATTGCTTTTAGGGAAATCAGCGGTTCTGTAACCTAAGATGAGGCAGAACAAGCTGATCGGGATTTGCCACGCGGGAGAGCTTGGATTGAAAAAGGCCGATGCACCAGAATTTTATGTCGCGGCCCTTTCTATTTTCTTCAACAAACCAGTTGATTAATATATTTATTTTGCCAAACGATACAAAGGGATAAATGGAGTTATAGTGGTACAGACCAACCGTCGCTCACTTGTCAGCGGGGTCAGCCCTCGTGGACGGCGCTCCAGCTGTCGGTAAAACCTTAACTGCCGGTCCGAGCGAGGGGAAAGCC